GCAACCTATCTATAGCCGGAAAATTTGGCGGTCTAAAACTTTGGCGATTTTGCATCAAAACTACCTAAATATAATATTGGCGGTCATTTAATTTGGCGGTTTACTATCTTGTCTTTTCTTTAAGCACACTCAGCTCTTCTTCAAGCTGCTCCTTGGCAGTCCTTGCCCACAGTCTTGACTTTGTGACTGAAATAGTGAGAAATACTGCCATTTTTTAGTATAATGCACCCGCGCATAATAATTGCAATTATTATTGGCGGTTATAATACTGGCGGTTTTATTTTGAACCGCCAATCCGCCAAATTTAATTCTCCGCCAAATTTTCCGGGTTGCAGTGAGGTCACTTTTGACGTCATAATTACTTCCGTATGGCAAAAATTAATGAGCCTCATTCGTTTACAGCAGCAAAGTTGCTTCTTCTATAACTTCTTTTACACAGCACAAGGCAGAAAAGGAGTACAATTCTAGCGGTAGTAAGCAGAAAAGTAGCGATAGCAATAATTACAGGAGTAACAAGACAATGCTGTGTTCACTTTGGCCGCTTCACTGATTCTCTATCCGAGGACTTTTTGCTTCCTTTGCATCCCTGAGTCCAGGAAAATGAAAGAGCAGCATGAATTAGCCATGCTCATAGTTAAGGAAGCCTGCCAGAAGAGTTTATAGTGCTGTACAAATGAATGGCAAAGTAGCCATTTTGCCATGCGGAAGTAATTATGACGCACGCTGTGACGTCATATGAAACCGCTTTCTATATAATTAGCGACTGGTTGAATTTGAAGTACACTCGCTAAAAACGCTAAAATTAAGTGTCGCAATTAATACACACCCTAAGCTTAAGGTAACTGATCACAATTCACAAGATGTCGTTAGAGGACAAGTGTGGGACTGCGTTTAGGAATAAAGATCATGAAGAAGCTGTTCGCTTACTACCATTAGTGAAGGAAGTTAAGGAACCGAATGAAATTAAAATAGCAGGGGATGGTCTACTTCATTTGTCTTCATACAATGGCTGGTTAGATGTTACAAAAGATCTCATCGCTAAATATCACTGTGACCCACACGAAAGAGATGGTGTGGATAGGACTTGTCTTCATTGGGCTGCAGAAGGTAATCATGTTGATGTGATGAGATATCTCATTGATGAGTGTCACTGTGATCCAATGGCTGTTAACAGGTGGGGGTGGACACCTCTTCATTATGCTGCAGAAGATAATCATGTTGATGTGATGAGATATCTCATTGATGAGTGTCACTGTGATCCAATGGCTGTTGACAGCAGGGGGTGGACACCTCTTCATTATGCTGCAGGAGGTAATCAAGTAGACGTGATGAGATATCTCATCGATGAGTGTCACTGTGATCCAATGGCTGTTAGTGGGACTGGGGGGACACCTCTTCACGTAGCTACTAGTTGTGGCAGTTCTGCAGCTGTTGGATATTTACTATCAACTGGTAAATGTGATCCATTGGCTAAAGATAATGAGGGGAGAACACCATTTAAACTAGCTAAGGAGAGAGGTCACACTGATACTCTTTCTGTCTTGAAGAAGTTTGGTGATATAAAATCATCTCATCCAATTGATTCTTATGTTAACGTCCTCCTTGTGGGTAATCCTGGAGCTGGTAAAAGTACTCTTAGTCATGTCATCAATGACACAGCAGCTAGTTTTACTCTTCTTGGTTCCTTTAGAAATGTTGGAGGGGTAGTGCCCTGTACTGCTGGCATCATTCCTTATAAACTACAAC